CGCTGTACACACTTTGTAAAAAGCTTGTTCTCTTTTCATCTGTTTCGATGAAATTCGTGATTTCCCCCACTGTTTCATATTGAAGATGTTTTCTCATATCTGGACTGTGAACTTTGTACCTATCCAGATTTCCATCTGGGCCATTCGTGTGAAGTATTTGTGAACATCTCGTCATCCACAGGCCTCCCCCGCAAGCCCAAGCCCTGATCGCTAACCGTGCATTTTCTGTTCCCCACAGCTCCTTAAAAACAATCTTCGGATACAGACGAATAAATGTGGATCTGTACGCTGCCAGGCCACCTCCTAAAACTGATGCAGTGGAGTAGGGTGCAGATTGATCATCAGCAGGCGGCCCTGCAACATAATATCTGAAGTAAGAGTACCCAGCCACAGCTTCTATGCCATATGCATTACATTCCTTTCGGTGGAGGGAATTGTATTCTTTTTCGTTGATCAAATGGAGGGTAGGAACAGCTATACCATCTGGTTTAGAGTTAAGTATTTCTAGCAGGGGCTCCAACCAAAGTTCAGAAACCTCCATATGAGAATCAAGAAGAACGACAACCTCACCTTCAGCTTGTTCTATTCCATATCGTCTACAAGAAGTTATCCCGACACTCTTTCTATTTCTCAGAATTTTGAGAGGTATGTTCAGATGGGAACTGTAGTTTCTGATTTCAGGTAAAGTATCAAAATCACTTCCATCATCTATCAAAATAATTTCATGAAGAAGATGTCTTGGTGTTCGTCTTACAATTGTAGTCAAGGTTCGTAGCAGAAGATAAATTAGCTCATTTCTCATACACATGACAACGCTAACAGAAACTGTGAATTTTGTGTCCAGATGTCTTAAACAGGAGACATGAGGCAGAGGTTTTCCCTGAGGCAACAATCCGTGGACACTCCCCCAATGTAAGGCAACATCTCGGTAATAAAACTGATTGAGAGAGTCTCGTTCGCCCGGAGGGAGATCTTCAGCTCGCTCTCTGTATTCTAGCTCTACCTGTTTTACATACTTCAGCTGGTGTCGCCATGACAAACCCTCACAACAAGATGTTGGTTTGTCATTTTGAGTTGAGAAAGAGCTCACGGGTCTGTTAGCAAAGAACTGGCGGGCTACAGTAAGTATTGCAAGAAAAAGAATTGTCAAACCAAAATTCTTCTTGATTACTTTTGACTTGATCGGCAGAGTCATGAACTTGAAACTTCTAGAAAATGATCGTATTACTATTAGAAGTAAAAACTCACATCTATTATCCCTTATTATACAAGATATATTACACGTGTTTAGACTTTAGATGCCAGAGGAGGAGAATTTCCACGGAAAAGAGACAACTAAATTATCAAACTTCTTCAAAGACATGACACGATAGGACAGTTTAAATATATCCCATGCCATCATACAATATTTACTCGATGTGGAGAATTTCCATGGAAAAGAGACGACTAAATTATCAAACTTCTTTAAAGTCGTGACACGATAAGAACAGTTAAATATATCCCATGCCATTACAAATTATTTACTCGATGTAACAGATTTCTAGCGTTCTTATTAGTTTAAGGTGGATCTTAGATACAAATTTTAACTAAGCACGCAAAACAAAAGGTGAAGCTTATTATATCATGATGAACGGTGAACACCCTACACACCCATACTGAACTCTCTGTCCTTTGATCTGACGATACGTGCTTTGATGAGGCCAATGTTTATAATCAAAAGGAGATGTAGCCTTGTGTTAAACTATTCCACCGCCTTTACGTATGCGCTTATAGTTTGAATTGTAAAAGTGGAAAGGTTTAGTTTCCTATGGCAAGTTCTACAAGCAGAGATAAGAGGTTAAACACAAGGGAATATTGTTATCTGTTGCTCATTTCGTGCCGGATTCCTTCATATTTCAATCTGTATATACATCGGTTAAAGATCTGACTGGTCTCAAAAATCACAATTAATCTTACTATATATAAAGCGAGACGATATAATATGTTTATCCGTACCATTTTATTGACACCATGGCATCAACTTTAGCACAACTTTTCGAAAAAACTTTTTTGACTGGTTCAAATGCTTTAATGGCCTTCAAATCAGCATGAAAAAATAAAAAATTGGCCAAGGAATAAGAATTTTAGTGCCCAAAATTTGGACCCCCAAGTGGTGTCAAAAACGCGAATTAAATAGGTAATAATTATTTTACTCTCTGGAGTCTTGACACCACTTTAGGGTTAGACGGGTTCCTGCTAGTAAGACGAATGTACTGATAACGTATCAAGAAAAGAATGGCGAAATGAACAGTTAACTCAACAATGATGCGTGTCTAACAACATTTAGTTTACAACTTCAATGTTTCCTGTGGTCCATGCTCTAAGAATGGGGGTGCACTTTTCTAAGTTATAATAATTTCTCATGAGGAATATTGAATGAGTAGTTGATAATTTACAAACAAAAGTACACCCATTAGTAAGTGTGCGTTTTTCTTTCAATTGTTCAGATAACTTCAATTGTTCAGATAACTCTATTTTATATTCATCTATTGCTGTACTCTGTAAAATTTGAAAAGTATTTAATAAAAAAAAAACTAGTTGTCATATTCATTTGAATTTAGAGCTCAGGGCGTCAGCAATCTTATTGAAGTGTTCAACTGCACAATTCGTGTACTGACTCGTGTACTTGTGTAGAAATTACCGTTCCACTAGACATGTTCCTCACAGAAATGTTAGAAACCACACATTAGCTCCCTACTATATACACTGTCAGAATACTAACGATCATTAGTTCGGTTCTTACACGTTGCATTTCATTGACAAAATATCGACGAATTGACATGATACTTTGGCGTTTCCGAGCATTTAAAAACAGCAAGAAACTTTTATTGCTCACTTTTCTAGTTATTTGTTCATCTCTGTATGGTCTTTACATAACGTTCCAACTGAAAGAAAATACCCTGTTTTCTGAAGAAACAAAACAGTTAAAGGGTATAAGACGAGCAGAATTCCGCTACAAGGAAACACTTAAAAAGCTGAGCGGTTCAGAATTAGATATTATCAGAAAGCGTTATTACCGAGATGTTGCCTTACATTGGGGGAGTGTCCACGGATTGTTGCCTCAGGGAAAACCTCTGCCTCATGTCTCCTGTTTAAGACATCTGGACACAAAATTCACAGTTTCTGTTAGCGTTGTCATGTGTATGAGAAATGAGCTAATTTATCTTCTGCTACGAACCTTGACTACAATTATAAGACGAACACCAAGACATCTTCTTCATGAAATTGTTTTGATAGACGATGGAAGTGATTTTGATACTTTACCTGAAATCAGAAACTACAGTTCCCATCTGAACATACCTCTCAAAATTCTGAGAAATAGAAAGAGTGTCGGGATAACTTCCTGTAGACGATATGGAATAGAACAAGCTGAAGGTGAGGTTGTCGTTCTTCTTGATTCTCATATGGAGGTTTCTGAACTTTGGTTGGAGCCCCTGCTAGAAATACTTAACTCTAAACCAGATGGTATAGCTGTTCCTATCCTCCATTTGATCAACGAAAAAGAATATAATTCCCTTCATCAGCAAGTTTGTAAAGCATATGGAATAGAAGCGGTTGGTGGATACTCATACTTCAGATATTACGAGGCAAAGCCCCCAGATGATGATCAATCTGCACCCTACTCCACTGCATCAGTTTTAGGAGGTGGCCTGGCAGCGTACAGATCCACATTTATTCGTCTGTATCCGAAGATTGTTTTTAAGGAGCTGTGGGGAACAGAAAATACGCGGTTAGCGATCAGGGCTTGGGCTTGCGGGGGAGGTCTTTGGATGACGAGATGTTCACAAGTACTTCACACGAATGGTCATGACGGAGATCTGGATAGGTACAAAGCTAAGAGTCCGGATATGACAAAGCATCTCCAATATGAAACAGTTGGGGATATATCAAACTTCATCAAAACGGAGAAAGAAAAGATGAGGTTCTTTCAAAGTATCTTCAAGGAAGATACAGAGATTGAGGAAGTTAAAGATGTTGCAAAAACAATCTCTACACAGTTTGACATATCAAAATGCTCCAAAGATTTTTATTGGTATCTGAAAAATATCTTTCCCAGCTCTCACTACCTCCAATTTATCTCAACCGACTACAGTATTGTTGGAGAAGTTCAATCAATGTTTGATAAAACCTACTGTGTCAAAGCTGCGAACAAGAAAGTATCAGTTGACAAGAACTGTAGGAACGACAAAACAGCCTTTTACGATACCCACTTGGTCGGGATCTCTAAAAAGGGGGACATACACATGACTTATTTCACGCTATTCTGCTTTGACCAGGAAGGAAAGACAGCTGAAGGCACTGCAGTAATGCTGCATATTTGTCATACCAGAAACTATGGCTATCCTAAAGCTGGAGCTACGCAGAACTTTGTTTACGAAGAGAAACGAATAGTGCATTTTCCCTCCAATAATTGTCTTCAGTTGGATGTTGTTAAGGGAAGTGTAGAGTTGTGGAAGTGTAATGATTCTCTGGAGCAGAAGTGGAATATTGTACCAGCGAGATGGACCCAACTTTAGTTAATAAAATGTTAAATGTATTTATATTTCTGTATTGTTTTATTTTTGTTATCTGAACTGCGATTATCAGTAATTTCTCCACATGTGGGTAAAAATGAAATATAGATAAAAATTTAGAAGCATCTTATCTATGGCTTTTAATTGGCGGTATCCAAGAAGCTCATAAACTTAGTGAGAGGAGAATGTAATATAGATACATTACATATATTGATTGGGTAGTGTCAATAAATTGCTTATGAGTAATGATCAATGTAATATAAGGCTTATCTACTGGCGAAGTGCAAAGAATATTTATATTTTAACGATAACTTTCTGTATGTAATCAAAGCTTTTAATGTGATGAACTCCATCGGGAAATTAAGTGCAATCCATCAAGTGTAAATTAGTCGGAATATTTGATTAGTTCGAATATTTGATTTCTCAATTTTAACTGAATCCTGCTAGGTATACGGATTCTACGACGAGTGTTTGAGAAAGTATGGTAACGCTAACGTCTGGAAATACTTCACTGACTTGTTCGACTTCCTACCCCTCACTGCCCTTGTAGACAACCAGGTATATATTCTTCAGTCCAATAATAATTCCCAATAATTGTTTCTACTCTTTTATCGACCGAAACTAATACATTTTGTAAATTCATCACTTTTTGGATATTTCGTTCTGCACGCTGGTCGGCTGGTTACTCACGGCTAGCACATTTATCAATTTATGCAATTTATCTTCTAAATACGTATCTCAGCGCGCTGTACTGACTTTACCCCCAGATATTTGCCCTGCACGGTGGACTGTCGCCCTCTATCGACACACTGGATCACATCAGGTTCCTGGATCGTCTCCAGGAGGTTCCCCACGAGGGACCCATGTGCGACCTGCTCTGGTCTGACCCAGATGACAGAGGTGAGTTATTTGGTGATCGTGTGGACAGTTTCTTCTGGGTTTAGAATTTTGAAACCCGGATTTAATCACCTATATTATACATGCTCCTGTGGTGTTGATTAAGATTATTTGATTACTTAAAGTGAGCGACAGATGGAAAATAAAATCTAACGAGTTGGTTTTCAATCTGACGACAGACAGTTGTATACGAGTATTCAGAGTTAACCTGACAGTAGAAATTGATTTAGTTTTATTTGGAGAGTTTTTCTCAATGCGACATTGATTTAGAGTTTATTCTAAGTTCTTCCAGCAGTAGACAATAAACATTGAATTAGAGTTTATTTAGATAACTTTCGACAATATACAATAGACATTGATTCAAAGTCCTTTAAGAGTTCTTCCGACAATCGACAATGATTTTGAATTCATTTACAATTCATCTGACAATAGACATTGATTTAGAGTTTATCGACGACGACGGAATGCTTGTACGACAAGGTATGACAGGAATGTGCAGATAAAAACTATGTCTTGATTATTGTGTATTACATGGTATCAAATAGCTGCTGTTGTGGACATATCTAATAAAACAACGTTAATAGATCATATCTTCATTTGTAAATATCATCTCTTGACAAGCGAATCTGTTAAATAACACCACTGGACAATTTTAAATAAAATACTCTAGTAAAATCAGTGTATGTTCCTAGAAATACCCTTCACGCTTTTCAACAGAAATACTAAACAGTTTTTTCCTAGATTTCCCTTCTAGAACAAGCTGATCCACTTTGACTTCCTTTACTATCCCTAATTTGTAACATTTCTTACTAAAAGGATCTATATATTATGTTTGAAGAAGCATGGTATTGGGTAAATACGGGAGACAATCATCTAAGATATGTTTACTCCTATCAGCAGACGGTATGTAGCTATTTGGTATATCTCCCATGCATATATCGCATAGTAGCTCCAACACAACTATCGCTTAAACGTTTATAATAGACTCTCCTGAAGATAGTGCAGTAGTACATGCTTAACATTATCAATTACTCCCGGTATATGCCGGTATAGCATGTATACTTTATGTGGCAGTTTTATTGTCATGTCGTGATCTAATGAGAACTATAGTGTGTGTACTATGTAGTATGTAGTATGTAGCTATTAGAGTTATATTTACAATAGAAACACTTCTGTAGAATTCTAATTTGTATTTCAAAATGTTATCCCTAAGCTAGAAGTTACAAAAAAATCAAAACGTTTGCAACCTACGTTGACTTTAGGGCGGCACTTGAAATTTGGACACGAGCCTTGAAGCACCCTGTAGTTAGGTCTACAGAAGCTATTGAAATAAAATAGTAGGGAGTAGATAACAGATATGAGATAGTTTGCTTCTCGTTGATAACAGGTTTAACTCTACCAACGTCAATCAGCGTGTCAAGAGAATGAACGTTTTGCTGACGTCACATAGCGTGAATGAGATCACAGAAATGTAAACTATCTCCAGTTTGCCTACATGAGGTGTAATGCCTACTATTACGTGTTATGTTTGATTTGGTATAATACCAGTTTTATAGTAAAATAAACGTATAGTTGATGAGTGCACTGCATATAAAAACGGCAGCGTTATTTATTTAAAATGTTACTTAGTGTATACAATATTAGTGTACGATTTGGGAAATGTACAGATGTAGGTAATGATTTGTAAAATGTGCGTGACCACCATGATGAATATATTATACGTGTGCAATGTGCATTGAATTGCTGTTACGTCTTCATGTAGGCTATGATCTAGTATATTTAACAAGCAGTAACATGTTCTTCTACCGACTTTATATTACAGATTACAGATTACAGATTACAGACTACGCTCACTGACTCACAGTCAACATAAACATTAATAAGCAAACTGACTTACAAATAACACACACAATTATAACAGTGCTCCGTGTCCAACATTCTCACTGTAAACCCTTCAGGTGGCTGGGGAATATCACCTCGTGGTGCTGGGTACACTTTCGGTCAGGATATCTCCGAGACTTTCAACCACACCAACGGTCTTACTCTCATCTCCAGAGCTCATCAGCTTGTCATGGAGGTTTGTTTATTATTTTCCTTGTTTTCTCGGATCCAGCGGTGAAAACTCCGAGATTGTTTTACCCTGGATGAGATTTATGCATATCTTTAAAATCACAACCCGCGTGTACTCCCCCGCGAAGCATTTATTCAAGAGCCAGGGGTTTATTGTATTCACAAACTTAAGTTCTACTGAAATTTTTATCTTGATATTACGTTAAGTCTTTAAGTCTCCTTGTATTTCAGGGTTACAATTGGTGTCATGATAAGAATGTGGTTACCATATTCAGTGCTCCAAACTACTGCTACCGCTGTGGCAACCAGGCCGCCATCATGGAACTTGACGACGGACTTAAATACAATTTGTAAGACTATTGGATAGATCACTATTTTTGTTAGAATTTAAGCATATTTCCAAACACTCTTATATTGCATTGTAGGAGTTAAAGTTACATTTTCAATTGAAGTTGCATATCGTTGGATCTCACAGCGATTAGGTCGACAAGCTTGAAACTGGCATATTAGTAGGTTTTTAGTTCCCCAGAAATCCATCATAGTGACCTGTTATTGATTTGTTCATGTGACCAGGAATCGTTTAGTAACTATAATTAACCATAATTAACCATTGTTAACAACATACCATTTCAGCCTGCAGTTTGACAGCGCGCCGCGCCGCGGAGAGCCCCAGGTTACTCGCCGTACGCCCGACTACTTCCTCTAATCGTCCTGACGAGAGCTCCTGCACTCTGTCCATGATGATGACTTCATACTTAATTAATTAACATTTAATTTGAATGATTTAGGAGACTGCCATGCCCCCTTAAATCTGTGTGTTCCGAGATTTATTTGCAAAGCCCGATCGACAGAACCGTATCTGCTATATGAGTATATCATGTGGACTCTTGATGAAAATTAACCAAGCCTCGGTTTTTTTCTGTGGCACTAGGAAACACATTCTAAAATAGGTTTGCAATTCTTTTGACAATATATTTTCCTACTTTTTTTCTTGTTGTCGGGTGGTAATAATTATATTACCGATTAAAATGCAATGACTATTCCTTCCTATCAAAATTTCACCAACGTATGAGAATTCATGCTGATGGATGTTGATTTACTGGTTTTTTCTTTTTTGCGATCATTAACTTCGTGCTCAGCGTCTTGTCTGTCTAGTAATCAGCCAAATCTTTCGGCTTGACAACTTTTGTTATTGCTATTAATTTAGTGTGAAAAGCTGTCATTAATCTCTATATAATTGATAAATTGATTTATAAAGTCGGTCCATTTTATAATCTTAAGGCCCACAAAGAGATTCACCTGAATAAAAACTCTTCATCCTTGTTACGGGCATTGAATTAATGTACTCTGTGTATATAATAATATTCTAATGGGAATTTTATGCACCGACGTATAATAATTATTTTGAGCCCATTGAGATAATGTTTTATTTGTTCTCAGTATTATACTAGACTGGTTAACAGCACAAATTTCATATAAATAGTTTAAGTACTGCTGGTAAATTGCTGAGCTGCTGAAGTTGGGACGATTCCGTGTTCATATCCATTCAGTCTTGTTTGGCTCTTACTATTATTCGCTCGCCCAAAAATTATCACGTGTCTTGGGTTTTCGACGGTTTTGCAGCCGAACAAAACGGTTTTACATAAACCCTAATCCCGACCCTAACCATAACCCCGAAGCAATCCATAACTCTAAGTCTAACCACAACCCGAGCCCTAACTCGAGCCCTTAACAATCGAATTCGTGTTTTACTAGCCTGTCAAGTTAAAACGTTCTCTATACTAGCAGGAACCCGTCTACCCTAAAGTGGTGTCAAGACTCGAGAGACTAAAATAATTATTACCTATTTAATTCCAGTTTTTGACACCACTTGGGAGTCAAAATTTTGGGCACTAAAATTCTTATTCCTTGGCCAATTTTTAATTTTTTCATGCTGATTCGAAGGCCATTAAAGCATTTGACCCAGTCAATAAAAGTTTCAGTTTTATATCTATTACGGTTTTTGCGGAAAGTCACGTTAAAGTTGATGCCGTGGTGTCAGTAAAATGGCACGGATCCATATATATGTATATTAATATATCGTCTCGCTTTTGGCTTTATATATAACTAGCAGGAACCCGTCTAACCCTAAAATGGTGTCAAGACTCAAGAGACTAAAACAATTATTACCTATTTAATTCGCATTTTTGACACCACTTGGGGGTCCAAATTTTGGGCTCTGAAACTCCTATTTCTTGGCCAATTTTTTATTTTTTCATGCTGATTCATGATTTGGAGGCCATTAAAGCATTTGACCCAGTCAAAAAATTTTCAGTTGTATATCTTTTACGGTTTTTGCAGAAATTCGCGTTAAAGTTGATGCCGTGGTGTCAGTAAAATGGCGTCTCGCTTTATATATAGTAAGATAGTAATATATTTTGGTCATATAGCCACATATGGGCATGGTTCACATAGCCATGTGTATACGCGTACTGCGTGACGCGCTTGTTTCACAAGTTGCCGCCTTCGGCGGTCGCGCGCTACGGCAAGCGAGAGGGCTCTGGTTAGAGCAATGGGCATGGCTATATGACCAAAAATTAAAAAGCATAATCCCGATCTACTCTGAGTCCTGACCCCAACCTGTGAGCGGCACCCGACTTCCATGAGCTTGACCATTGTTAATGGTCTGGCCCCCGAAGAAATTTAGACGAGTAACATCCGTCAACCATGAGCCTAAGACTCATGCATCATGGTAGTCGGGTGCCGCGCACGAGCGATAAGACTTATCGCTCGGTTGATTACCTGGGGACCTCAGGCTATTATGTTCATAATGATAAACAAAGAGATTCGGCGGAACGACAGGCTGAGCACGGGCGCCCAGTAATCGGTTGACTGAGCGATAAGTAGTAGTTACAAGTTATTGCTCGTGCGCGTCGTCACTAGTCTAGTACAGTTGCGGCTTGGACAATTGCACGTTGTATCGTACTTTGCTCTAACCAGAGCCCTTTGATCTCGCTTGCAGTGAAACAAGCGCGTCACGCAGTACGCGTATACACATGGCTATGTGAATATTGCACTCGATGCTAGCCAAAGAGCTTTAATACTTTGGTTTTGGCGTGTTACATTTAAGGTTAAGCTTACCGGCCTTTTTGCCTGACAGAAATTTATAAACTTTCCAAAGTTACTCCATGGATAAATCTCCATGGAGTGCAAATTAAACTACTATTATGTATTACTTATCGCTCGGTCAACCTTGACCATTGTTAATGATTTGGCCCGGCGCGCGCTACTTCGTAGCATTTGCCATCGGGCCATTTCGAGAAGAAAGCGGCGCGCGCTATTTCGAAGAAATTTAGACGAGTAACATCCGTCAAGGTCAACCGAGCGATAAGTCTTATCGCTCGTGTGCAGCACCCGACATAACCATGAGCCTTATTTCAATCCCTAACTAAGGCATCTGTTGACATACGTTGCATGCCACTTTTCGCGCGCGAAGCGCGCGCCGCCGAAGGCATCTGTATCAAGGCATCTGCTTAAACCCTAACTATAATTCCCTAATCCTAACTAGAAATTTGAGTTTCTTCCTTACAGTACATGGGCATGTTTTACTGGGCTGCGCTCAGCCTGTCATTCCGCCGAATCTCTATTCCGATTCGTTCATATTAATAAACATATTGTAGCGCGATGCACTACTGGGTCGCGCGCGCATCAAATAATGCTTCTCGCAACCACAGATCGGCGAGATGCGAAGGATTGACATCGTCAATCAAATAAACATAATACTAGCCTGAGGTCCCCAGGTAAGGGCATGTATCAAAGTATCGAGTGGTCAAGAAAGTCTTCGTAGGTAAATCGTCATTGAAGGCCTTAATTAAATGACATTTTACCGACCAAAACTGTTTCGATCAAAATACTTCAATTTGAAGCATGTTCGAAATTAGCGTTTAAAAATACGTCCAATCGAATTAGTTTGCCGGGCCCCCTCGAACTTTCAATTTAGTGTGATTTAGAACGCTCAGTATAACATAAAGTAACATAAAGTAAGCTTTTACATTTCGTTTGTTCAGCATGGCACTGTAAAGTTATAAATCTCTTCGACAAATATTTGTGCTATACTAATATCACTTTTATAATAATATTTTCAAGATGTGTGTGTGTGTGTGCGTGTGTAATTTCCGTTCGGTTATATTGGAAAAATGGTAAGAGTTACAGGACTGGTTTTTTCGGTATAGTGTTGACAAGCCCATATGCAAATTTTAAAAAAATCGGCCGGCGGTAAGTTGCTTAATTGATGGTTTTGTGCTATCAATTTGTCATACGTTGTATGACCCGCCGCGCACGAAGTGCGCGGCTCCCCCTGTAGCGTCGAAGACGCTACAGTGTGACGCTACTATAGTGAAGCGACCGTGGGGGTCACCACGTGATACAACTATCAATGCAACATTATGGAGTGAGCCACTAAAATTACTCACTTTCTCTTCCTATTCGCTCTCTTTTCCATTACTGCACTGTAGATTGTAGCTTTGGTAATTAGGTTAGCTCCGCAAGTGATATTATTATATTATTCAATGTTTATACGTGTAATACTATAAGCTTATTAGGGGGGGGGGGGGGGGGGGGCACTCATTGCAGTCTGTTTGACTAAGATACAGATATTATCTACGAGTCTGAACTTGATGAGGTGCAGCTAAATTTATATTTCGGAGAAATAACGTATGATATCGAGAAATTTCACCACGGCATAACAATGAACCCTTTCAGCACTCTGAGTCGTAACAATAAGCTATTTTTATAATGCTAATGGCGATTCAGTATTCCCCTTCTATAACGCGCCTTTGTACAACTAAGTATTTCATATCAAAACCGTTATAGAGCTAGGAGGAACTCAGGAAGAGTTCTCAGTACTGTAATATTATTTTGATTTTACAATATAAGTCACATTTCTTGATATGTCATGTTTTTAAATCACATTATAAATTTAATGACCTATTCATATTGAAATATGTTAAAAATCAAAGCTATGATTTGCCAAGACCTTCGATTTACAAAAATTGAACAGATTTTCCCGGTGAATCAGGATTTGATTAAACAAGCGTGGCCAAAATACACAGTCAACAGTCAAACTTCCAAACGTTTGTGAAACTGGAAGTAAATTTCTCGCAAGTTGACTTGATCAATTTTATCTTTACAGATCTTATGACTTCTAATAATTGATCTTGGTGAGGAACACGATAATGTACCGTGGTGTGTTGTTTGTAATGATCTGGTATGTTGTCTTTGTTGTGACGTCATCCAACGAAGCCTCCGCCGTTAAAGGTTGGTTTGTGCATATGTATTTGCATAAATGCGTATAAAGAAATCATATTAACTTAAATGACCGATACCTTATGACACCGAGAATGAAATTGGTCGCTCGCTTTCCCATTAATTCAAATTGTAAAGAGTTAAGGTTTATAAATTTGTGTGTCTCTTATATCGAACTCAAAGTATTCAACTAATGTGAATTAGGAGCAGGTACACTTTCAGACAAAGCAAACAAAATGTATTACTATTAGTGCAACTTAAAGTTTCATGTGTAAAGCAATTCGTCGCGTTATAGGTAAATTGTGGAATAATTTATAAATTTATCTTGTTTCTTATAAATGAGCACTCTGTCATATTGTTATTGTTATTTTGAATGCATTTATGACCCTGACGATTGCTTCACACATGAAACTTTACGTTGGATTAAAACATCGTGTTAAAGTTTATAACATAAATAAGTATACACTTTGTCTATATCTCTTGTATTGCAGATGTTGGATGTTGGAGCAAAGGTGACAGGGAGGCAAAAGGATCTAGTTACAATGGAACTCAGTCTGTAACTAAGGGTGGTTCTACCTGTCAGAAATGGTCTGAACAGTCACCTCATGATCATATCTACACTCCGGATGCATATGGTGACAAAGGAGTAGGTGATCACAACTACTGTAGGAACCCATCATTGTACGATGAAATATGGTGTTACACAACCTCACCCGAAAAACGGTGGGACTGGTGCGAGGTTCCTACTTGCAATACAACAGGTTTGCTTCATCACCTGAGTAGGACTTTAGGCTTAGCAAACACGGAAAGTATTCACGACCTGCAAATTTCAGTTTTTAAAACCCCCTTTACTATTTTTCACCCTGAATGCATTTCTGGCTCTATACTAATGCTAAATTTCTCCAACTAGTAATAGGATGGAGAACGCAAATGAAAGGTGCCTGGTTTCCGTATGAGTGGGACGAGGTCCCTCTGGAGGTAAAAACGATCAGCGCTATAGGAAGTAATGACGAAATTGTATTTGATGTAGCGAACTCTTTTGGAGGCAACCAAGAATTTGCAAAAGTGGTAGTGCGACTGAGCCCCGACTACCCAACCTACTCCGTGGAGAATTGTAAACGAGTAACTCCTATGGTAAA